TTCCATTGATGAGGTTTCTTTAAAAAGCCCTCTTTCCTTTCATCCTTTTCAACGCGCACTGCCCTGCTAAGCAACTTTCGGCGAGTATAATACTCCTCAGCTAACTCTGCTGCCTTGTTTAGCTATACTTCACCAAGTTTGTCCTGCAGCCAAAGCTTGACATCTTCCTCGATGCAGCGGTAGAATTGCTCCAATGCAATGCATTCTACCACTTTATCGCGATCGTCATGAACACCTTCACCCTTGAGCAGTTCAATTAAATCGGCTTTAAGACGAAACACAAAGTCAATGTGTGACTCATTCCCCCTTTTAGCATACCGGAACCTTTGCCTGAAAGCCTTGATTGATTGATATGATTGATATGTGGGGTTTAACGTCCCAAAACCACCATACGATAATGAGAGACGCCGTAGTGAAGGGCTCCGCAAATTTCGACCCCATGGGGTTCTTTAAAGTGCACCCAAATCTGAGTACACAGGCCCACAACATTTCCGCCTCCATCGGAAATGCAGCTGCCGCAGCCGGGATTCGAACCCATGACCTGTGGGTCAGCAGCCGAGTACCTTAGCCACTGCCTGAAAGCCTCGGGTGACAACTTATAATGTCTCAAAAACACTTCCTTAACCTCGTCATAGCTCTCAAACGCTTCCCTCGACAAGCAAGTTATCACGTCGGACACTTCACCGGGAAGAAGAGCTAACAGGTTCTGGGCCCAAAGAGACCGCTCCAAAACATTTCGCTCACAGACGTGTTCGAACTTGATGAGATACTTCACCATGTTCTCGCCTACTACCAACGGTGGCAGTTGGTCCCGAATTCTATAACCGCTGACCTGAACTGTCGGAGAAGCTACGCTAGGCGCCGGTGAACAATGTAAGATTGCAATTCTATTCGTTTCAACTCGAGGCGCTCCTGTCTCTCGGCCTTCTCATGCTCGCAACGTTCGCGCTTTTCAGCTTCTTGACGTTCGCGAACTTATACTTCTCGCCTTTCAGCCTCCTCGCGGCGTGCTTTGATATCCGCCCAGGCCTCATCGACTTCTTCAGCCGACACTCCTTCATCCTTCATGATCTCAAGGATCGCTTGCTTTCGTTTCGCACGGCCCAAAGTAATGCCGAGTTCCTCACAAATTTCGATGAGTTCCTTCACTTTAAGGTTCTCCATCGTTCACACTAGCCTTTTGCTGTTTGCCCCTGTTGAGAATCTACTTGCCGTACCCACTATAAGTCTACTAGCAAGACGCACAAGCAATTTTAACACTGCCGTGTTTACACCCTTCGCATTAACTTTGGTTTCAAAGCGCTCAGACTTTGCTTGAAACGACCAAAGTTTACTCTAATGCTTCACACAGCCCTTCTCTAAACTACAATAACCTGAGCTAGAGTAGTCTGGTGAACTGAGGGGAAAACATCAGGCACTCACCGCATCGATGTCGCTGACGCCGGCCGATCCCGCAGCTGCCAACCACTGTTACAAAGCGCGCCTCCGACGACGTTACGAAGGGCGCCACGAAATGCCACCGCTGCCACCACTGTTACGAAAGACGGCGATGCCAACATGGTCCCGAAGGCGCCACTGCTTCGAAATCCGTCGGGAAGGTCACCAGCCGTTTGGTAGCGTAGGTTTCTCAGCTCGCGACTGCTTCTGCGCTGAGCTGATAGACGAGCGGACGAGACGACGGTGAGTTAAACAAGGTTTATGTACAGCATATATACAGAGGCGTTACGAATTCGGCACTGGGGCCGACAGCTTAGAGACTCGAAGAGCCGAGCTCTCTTCTCTGACACATAGGCCTACTGCTCGCGACACGCCGCAGGGCTTTGTTTATATGCACCGGGAGGATTCTTTGAGTAACCAAATGTCCAACCAGAAACGCCGCTGGCCGTGAGGTCAGAATCCTCCAATGGGGTCGCCGCTGGGCCGCGTCTTTCTCATCGAATCCGGAGCCGCTGTGTGTGGCTGCAGCCAAGGACGAGTGACGTCGCCATGCGTATGACTCACCAGACAGGAAGGCGCCTATTGCTCCATCGGGCTCGTGGGCTGATGGGGCTCACTGTGCGTTGTGCGACAGAAAGGCGCCGCCGCGTGATGACGCCGTTGAGTTGTTCGCGTCAGGCGGGCTCGCGTGCTGGCCTTGACACAGATTGCTTTTTTCAGAGGCATGGACGTTCGGTGTGGACTCGCAGGCATAACAATGTGCGAACAAAGTACGTACTACGCATAGCCCCAATGCAGATGCCTGGAGCACAGAAGCTGTCTAGCGCTGGCTGATATATCCATCACACTCCACGAAACTTTCGCTGGTGTAAGTAAAGGTATACCACTTACGTCCCTGCACTTCTGTAGTTTAAGATGTCATAACACCTCGTCGACAGTATTCGGTAAACTTTCTGTAATTGGTATCAACATATCCGAGTGCCTTTCACGAGCAGTGCAGCGAGACTGTTTGTTTTCCAGTCTGCGCTTCCACGAAAAAGTGTGTCACTTTCCAATTTTCTACGAGTTTGTACTATGCATGCTTCTTCTGAATGCATAAAATTACATAAATGTTTTTTTTATGCTTGCCATTCTCAAGTCTTACAAACGAAATCGTTAAAAAAAAGGCTTCGTTCCGTTTCATTTACCTACGCCGCAGTGCGCCGTCGTCATTCAGATGGTGGCGACTCCTCACGGCGCGGCCCCGAAGCTCGCAACATGCCACTAGCTTGCCATTGGCCCGATGCTCGCTCTGGGAGATCGTCGTCTGGCGGTTGTGCATCACGAAAACAAGCCTCTCGCAAATCGTTACTTCGTGACGTGTTGAGGGCTCGACGGTCACTTAGGATATAATTACGCTTTAGTTAGGAACTGTAAGTGGATGCACAATCAAATTACTACGAGCGGGCGCGCGGTGTAAGAGCCCGGTGTGTCATTGGAGTCGTCTTTAGGCCTAACGCCGCTGAAGGCAAGACTGCGGGCAAGAATGACGCGCTAGCGCACTCGTGGCGATGTGCTTCTTCGCAAGCAACAACACACATCACTCGCTAGCTCCTCGAAATAGCGGACGGGCAGTGTGCGCCGATTTTTGTCATCGTAGTTACACACTTCGCGCATCATCACCGAACGCGGAGGCAAGTGCATCAAGTGCCGGCTGCATTGTCCACGCAGCCGCGCACTCCACGGTCATTTGCAGTGCTGTCAATAAGCTTTTGTGATACGATTTAGACGTGCTTGTAGCCATGCTTGGTATCGCCACGAACATTCATTGTCTCAGAACATGAATGTTCTGAGACAATGAAAGCCTTGTCGATTAGTGCTTCTGCAACTGGCCGTATGACGGTGAATTTCACGGCTAGAGTGGCAAAAGATCGTATGTACGAAACAGGAGCATGAATTTTTGTATGTCCGTTTCGAGTCATTAAATAAACTACTTAAAAATTCCTGTGCCACCTGTCTCTTGTCTACAACTTTCTTAATTGGAAAGAAGGCATAGGCTGTCAAGGTGTGAGCCATTTTTCTGATGCAATAAACCTCTCTTTATATAAAAAATGTTCAGTGATAATTAGTAATCAAGTACTTAATTATGCTAATAACAGCATAAACACAAGAAATATGTGTAATTATTTCAGTATATGGTCTTATTCAATTACAATCTTTCTGTCATGCCTACCACACCACTCCTTCATACAAAGAACTTAGTTTGAAATCCATACTTATTCTTTGTAAATCAAGAAAAGGAGGTTATCGAAAATACAAAGGCACACTGGGCAGAGGCCACATGTCTAAGAAGTCAAATATCACAAGACAAACCTGACATCACGATTTTTAGGCGTTTGAGACATGTAAAAAGGAGTTGAAACTTTAAACGTAGTTTTCTAAATGCCGAGTTTTTTTTTGCATTATGCTCAGCTTGTGGAGCTGATATTTTGGCAACCACTTCACAGATTTTGATTCCGTTTGTCTTGTAATGCTCCTTAAACCGTGCTTCAGGGAGCTGCGATCTTATTTTTCATTTTACTTCTAGAACAATTTTTCGTAGGGGCTTCTTGTTTGTAGTGCAAATGCGCTCATCCCAGTGTCGCTGGAGAAAACATTAATAACTACAAGTTTTAGTGTAGCAAAAAAGTTACTTTGAAAATACAGCCCCCTTCAGCATACATTTATTTGGCTGAGCATACGGTAACTACAAACTATTTTTGTCATTTTATAAATCCTCCCGCCCTACACGAGGTTCAATGAAGAATTAATTTGTCTCTCATTATGTTTTTTGGGTATCGCCTCAAAATTTTTATAGGAGCATTGTGAGGCCATTTTTAGTGTATGTGCCCATTTTCATCAATACCCAACCAGAAACAAAAAAAGGTTGGTCAAAAAAAGACTGTCGAACACTTCGACAAGCTTTTTCTCACAAGTGTGTTTTAGACATTGTGCACTGCTCTTGGAAAGTGTAGCATGGGAATGACTGGACCAATTTCGATGCAGTTTCCCCCTTTCCCGGAATCCCAAAACATTTCTTGGGGGTCTGACAATCTTTGAATTCTTGTCTATGGCCCAGTTTTTTTTTTCTCTAGAAGATCACTTGTACATGACACTGCTTCCAACAATGTGTGTAGGCAGCCTTGATGATCTCTATTAAAAAATAGAGAAGTGATGAAAAATTGTGAAATTTTCATACCCAATAGTCTTTTTTTAGTAAATATCAACGCCGTTTGCGGCTTCCTGGCATGTTTCGTTACCGCGCTAGGCTTTCCACGAGCAGACTATATAAATCAAACCATGTAAGATGATGCAACTTGAGAAGTACTCAAGGTATCACGATGAAACTGCACATTTCCCTATTCAAGACACATATGAGTATGCATGCCAAATTTCATTGCTCTAGATCAACAAACAAAAATGTTTATTTCAACTCCCACTTCACCCTTAATAAATCGGGACAATATTCACTTAGTTATCTAAAAGTATTGGATAACCTCCCACACCAACTCATCAAACTATTCAAAACTATAGGCCTAACTCACCAATTGGGAGCATCTGCTGACTTTCACAGTACACCCTGGGACAGTAACCGAAGTCTCCATTTTGGTACTTCTCAATCTGTGTGTGAAATACCAAAAGCAGCATATGACGCTGAAGTCTGAGAGCGGCTGCCAAACAAACAAAATAAACACACCAGTCCTTTAAAAGTGTCTTGTGTACCAAATCATGCTTCTACAATGCTATTGCATGCCAGTATAGCGCAGCTAGCACCACTTAGGCAAGGTAATGGAAAACTTTAGCGATAATGCATGATATTGACACCGTGCACTACGCAACGCTAAGGTTCTAAAGCAAGAAAACAGTGGTGGCTTGTCTGCCTAATGGAAGGGATACCCTAGATATGAAAAGATGCCGGCTCCTAGTTGTGATCCCAGGTGCATGGAAAAAAGCAGTACACCCATACCTCCATAGCTGCTGAAAGCTGAAAGAAGCAGGTGCATCAGGCCTGCATATCCAACAGCAATTTTCATACTTGAGAAACAGTCACACACCCTAATGACAAAGCAATGCCAGCTCTAACACTGTAATAATGAATACCTGCTGCACTTGAACTTTTGTCTTTTATGGTGACAAACAACCTACTGCAAATTCCCCTATCCCATTACAGTAGAATCCCAATGAACGACTTTCGGGGGACCACGCAAAACCAACATACAATCGAAAAACTAAGATTATAGGCAGTGAAACTCGGCCTTGCTCGAAAACGGGTACAGACTGCCTGAATAAGCCCACGGCACTACCTTGTGTCTCTGCAAGGAAGGTAGATTCAACCTCACCTAAATCATGCAGAGTAAACATGAGCACTGCTGTTTCAATAAAACTAGTATTTCGATCTACCCCACTGAGCAAACAATAATAAAGTTCACATTAGCACTTGCTGCATCTTTCAAATGCTTTGACAGACTTTACAAATTCAAATGTGGATCTGCCAAGCCGGCAACCTTGAAATTCAGGTGGTTAGTGAAACTGAAGTGTAGGGATGGCAAAAAAAAAAAAAAATGGCGCAGTTTTTTTTAAAGTGCCAGCAATTTTATACACTGCTCCAAATGATTGCACGTAACATGCTTAGACGTCAGCAATCCTACAGTTCTGTGGCGCATACACACAAGTAAGTGAACAAAATGAGCTGAGTCTCGTGATTAGTGCTAAAAGCGTATTCCAAATCAACGCGCTTTTCTGCAGGGCACTAGTGCAGTGCGGCAAAGGTGGCTTAACCAGGGTTCTGAGCGGGTTGGAGCAAGGCCAAGAAATTTTCCGACACTGCTACACCCCCTCCTCCTCCTCTTATTTTTTTTCTTTTTTTTTTTTTCACGATGAGGTTAGGTTTAGGCCACAACTTCTCAGCTCACTTGCAAGACATGTTCTACCAGATAAAGCAACGGCACGCGCAACTAACGCAACTTAAAGACAGAAGAAAATGTTTCATGTGCCCTTGCTATGGCGACCAACGTGGCCACCGGCAACACAGTCATTCTCAGCACGTCCACTCAGTTCACGTGCGAAAAATGTGGTATGCCCTTTCAGCTCTAGGTGCTACATACCATAGCCACCTTTGCCTGACAATGAAGTTCATATTTCATGCGAATTGTTGTCTAGAAGTTGCGTCGTCCCACTGATAAGTATCCGCTGCGGTCAGCGAAACGATGGGCAAGCGGCTTGGTTACATTAGCTGGTCCATCGCGTCTGAGTGCCCTGACCTAATGAGAATATATCTGACGTGGTTTGGCATTAGGGTCTGGACACTTGGATTCATTGACGACTTGGAACTGCAGATGACCAACGTGGCTTCTACGTCTTGCTGAAATTAGTGCAACCGAAAAAAGTTTGAGGCTGATCAGCTATTTTGGCACAGCGTGGCGCAATTTTAGCGAATTTCATGGTTTTGGCGCAGCTCAGCGCAGAAATGGGGATTTTTATCAAATCGGCACAATTGATGCAGCTGTTGGAGGGAATCCTTATTCTCAACTTTGTGCAGCAACTCAGTTTTCGATGGAGGCGAAAATGCTGTAGTCCCATGTGCTCAGATTTGGGTGCATACTAAAGAACCCCAGGGAGTCGAAATTTCCGAAGCCCTCCACTATGGCGCGTCTCATCATCATATGGTGGTTTTGGGATCTTAAACCCTACATGAAAAAAATTCTGCTCAACTTTAAGAAAAAAAATCGAATCTTACGCGCATATTTCTACCAATAAAGAAAGTCTAAAAAGTGCTTGTGCGCGGAAACGAAACCAAAACAGTATTGGCAACAGCCTCCCATCAGAAGAGTCTGACACAGTGTCATCGCTATCACACAATGGCGACGGATCACAAGGTTGCATAGAATGCCTTGGTGCGCAACTGAGCTATGTGCATTGTAATTTGTTGGCTTTTAAGTGCAACTGGTGATGTCCCCCCTGATATTATGACTACTGACATGAAGTGAAAGTAATTTTGCACAGCAAAAACAGCTGCATTGCGCCATTACAGTGTGCACAAGCCTGTGACTGCGAGTGCGAGAAAGGAGGTGATAACAATTTGCTTGGCCTTGTTCAAGCACTTTGTCACATAGTAGGAGTGCATTGCTGAAAGGCTGGGCAGGAACTCTCTGCCCCCATCATGTTCAAAGTAGCGCTGCAACAGGATGACAGCATCTCTTCCTACACTGTCAGCCACTGAAATAGGCTCAGTATCACACACCATCTCATTACAACTTGAGAACAGGTCCTCATCTTGAACTTCAGCTTAAGTTCCCCAAGGCTGTCTCCTCAAGTTCACAACGAGACATCGATTGCTTCTCGGCCTGTGCGAACATGTGCAATCGCTAGTTTGGATTGGCTAGGCTAGCTTTGGGATTTGTTTCATGGTTGCTAGACTGCAATAGCCACTTCCGTCGTTCATGCATATTGCTCGTTTTGGTTTCTTTTAACCAATGTAAGCTAACAAAAATGTTCCGATTACCCTAAACTTTTTATCACTAAGTATACAGGAGACCAACCAAATATGCCTAGATAGTTTCATTTATGCGGCTTTTTATTTACCGTATTTACTCGCATAATCCTCGCACTTTTTTTGGAGGAAAACCGATGCAAAGTGGGGGTGTGTGAGAATTACGCGGGGAAAACTTTCCACGAAAACATACAGAGCGAAAAAGAAAACGAAGTGGCCGCAAATCAGGATTCTCACACCAGCATCTAACAGCAAGCTTTGAGAAGTACTAATATAAACTTACCTCAACAGTAAAAGCACAGGTTCAACACAAGGCAAGATTTATTTGGGACACAAAAAGTGCAAGCAAGTAGTCGAGAATTAGGATACCATATGCAAAGCTTGTGGGCGTAGCGGTAGCGTAGGTCGCTCAACAGGAGCCCTCGACAAGTTAGCGTAGAACGTCAGTATTGAGCTGATGGCTATTTAACAGAATCGTCCACAGTTTTCTTCTGACGAAATAAAGTTTACCATCAATCCCAGTTTCAGGCACACGGCAGGCCCAACGCGTCTTGGTGGCTTTCAGCTGCCGTCACCAGTAGCGAACACAAAACTCGTAGACTCCGAAGGGCTTACCGGCAGCCCTGTTGCCATTATTTAGTGCATGATCTATCACTTTCAACTTGAAAGCAGCCGTGTAGCTTCAGTATCGCCCCATAACGTGAAACTCGCCCCAATACACACTTGCCACTTTGGCTTTGCTTGAACCAGATTGAATCTTTATGCAATTAGAGTATGCCTAATGCTTAACAGATGGCGCCAGATGGTGCACACTATCATCATCAGCGGCTGGAACGAGCAGACGACATTATTGTGGCAATTACCGAGGGTGCAATAATTACTCGAGGAAAAAAAGAAATCGTATTTTTGTTGGGCGATGTGGGGGGTGCGAGAATTACGCGAGTAAATACGGCAGCAGAGTTTCCTTTAATGGGAGTCCACTGTACCTCCAGTGGAAAGACTGCCGGATTGTGAACATAATGAGCACCATCCACACAGCTAATGTGACCGTCGCAGCAAAAAGAAGGCAAAAAACGGGGAACACTTGAGCTCATTCTGTACTGAAGCCATCGCTAATACATGAGAACAATGTTGGAATGCTTGGAGTAGATAAATCAGACCACATGATTGGCTATTACAACGTCCTCATCAGACATGTTCGCTAGTAATGTTAAAGCATTAGAAGCATTTTTGTGGCAATCGATTCATGAGGCAATGAACTTTAATCATAAGATTAGTAGACTACTTGGAAAAGTGTTGCAGACACCCTTTAACACCTTTCCACCTTCACTTGTCTGGAATCGCAAGACACTTTTCCATGCTTACCCTTCCAGAGTTGTTTTTTTTTTTTCTGCCGTGCAATTTTTGCTTGCATATTCCATTTTCCCATAATAAACCGTTGTTGCGAGTCAAAGCCCGTGTCATACATGTACCCCAAATACCCCCTTTTTTCTGGCTTTTTACAGTGTACTGTGTGTTTGTATGAGCAAGACTCGCTAACCTTAATTTTGAAGGGAAAACTGATGCACTTACCATGAGAGCGATTCCCCTGTTTGTGAGAATGTAACGGGCATGGATGAGTCCATAGAGCATCTCTGCAGCCTGCTCTATCAGATCACTCTGATTTGGGTTGTCGTCCAGTTCATCATCTGGCACCAAAAAAAAGAAACATGAGACTTGACATACTTTTGCAAATTATCGCAAAACAATTAACTGGTATGAACCATCTAAGCAACTGCTATGTGACATGAACTGTACATGAACCATACATTTAAAGCTTTATTATTTCCTAGGTCTGTGAGAGACTGGAATGACCTGCCTCAGAATGCTGCTGCCATCACAAATCACTTCGAATTTCCGGACACTATGCAGACTTTTATCTCAATGTAACACCTCCTTTGTATTTGGTTAACATACTAACCATACTTTATGGATAACACCAACAGAATATTTAAGGTAGTAAAACGTAACCTTATGTTTTTAATCCGATATACAGTTGTGGGAACTAGAGAGCTTGCTCCCCTTGACCTTGGAAAAAATGACAGGGCATCAGCTATACTCAAGATGAAAAATTAACTACTAGGCACTCAAAATACTGATGTGCTGGTGCCAAAAGCAACAAATATTCATATTTAACACACATTTGCTGAATTATTCAATGGTTACACTCGCCACTCACTACAACGGCTACAAGTCGCACATGCACAGAGAGACCCAATGAAGTAGAAGAGGGAATGACCACCGTGGTAGCTCAAATGGTAGAGCGTCCTCAGTGGTGGGAGTGCCTTCCAGCATTTTGGAGCAGCCATTAAAGCAGGCAAAATCTGCTCTTGGAGCAGCTACCTCCAATGTTTGGGGCACACACGGGCTTCCCCGACACACACAGAGGAAAAAAATTTAGCTTTAATTTAGTTCAATTGTTCCCAAAGTTAACATAATCACTTATACAGAAGCCGCAAGCCCACAAATTAACCACAAAAAATAAACAAAAGTAAGATTACGTACAAAAGCAGTGACATTAAATAGTGAAGGAATTTTTTTGTGTATTTTTTACCTTGGTCAGCACTGTGTAAATTTCTTACATAGTGAAGGTCATTGCATCAAGCAATCTGCAGCATGAAGTTCATAGCAGCGCGCATGCACACACACAACCATTCAAAGCTCGTTAAAGTAAAACCTCGTTAATACGTACATACACACCGAGAACCTGCTGGGAGCGCAGCTAACCACGCACTAAATGTAGTATGCATTAACCACAAAGTACATAAGCTAGCACAGGGTTCCCCTTTATGGGGGGGGAGGGAGAAAACATTCACTGCAGAGCCTCCCTCCCTAGCATGTCAATGTGTGATGCTGACTTTGCGCCTCCCGCTCGTCCACCTCCCCGTGCACCTCCCCGTGCAATATGACCAGGTACTAATTTACATTTCTTTACGTTCACTCACCGCTAAAGGAAGAAGAAATATATATACAGTGCCACAGTAAATATTGTCTAAGTGCCTACCACGAAGCCATTTCTTTGTTCTTGCCAATGTTCTGAAATAGTTGACGATTTCGCATGACCGTCGTCCAATGCCATGCAGTAGTGACACCAAAGAGCATTTAGAAACTACTGCGGAGTCCAGGATATGCAGCGATTGCCATAGTGATGTACAGGATATATTGGCTGTCCGCTATAATAGCGTACCGTGATCTGCTACTGAGCAAAAACTGACACAGTTTTTTTTAGATGCAGTGCGATCGCAGGGAGCTGTTCATCTACTGCCTAGTTGCGTGCAGCGCTTCATATGCTTGGCATATACATCCTGCCGAGCCGTTTGCAACCACTGCGCTTGAGACCATGCACAGATGCGGCGTGACGCCTGTTGTAAATCGCGACGATGGGCACTTTCTACAGGCGATGCTCAAGCGGTCCTGGCAGCAGACGAAGGCAGGTTTGGGCTGTTGCCCCATAAAAGCGCGTGCTAAACCTAACTGTCTCAGTGCCCATGACCCAAAACGCTTAACTCCGCAACAGTGAGCTACTTTGTTTTTGCAAAGCGGGTTACGCTCAACACGGTCCCACACAATGATTATGGCAGCAGTCATCAGGACCTCAGCACTCTCAGGTAGTCGAAGGCTACTACCGTATTTACTCCCGTAATCCTCACACTCGTATAATTCTTGCACCCCCCACATCCCCCAACAAAAATACGATTTCTTTTTTTCCTCGAGTAATTATCGCACCCCCGAAAACTGCTGCAATAATGTCGTCTGCTCTTTCCAGCCACTGATGATGATAGCACACGCCATCTGGCGCCATCTCTTAAGCATCAAGTGCACTATTGCATGGAGATTCAATACAATTCAAGCCAAGCCGAAGTGGCCAGTGCGCGTTACGGCGTGTTTTGTATGTTGCGTCAGTAACCTTGTCAAGTTATGAGGCGATACTGAAGCTGTACGGCTGCTTTTAAGTTGCAAGCGATAGATCATGCACTAAAGAATGGCAACAGGGCCGCCGGTAAGCCCTTCGTAGTCTGAGTTTTGTGTTCTCTACTGGTGATGGCTGCTGAAAGCCACACAGACGCGTTGGGCCTGCCGTGTGCCTAAAACTGGGATTGATGGTAAACTTTATTTCTTAAGAAGGAAACTGCGAACAATTCTGTTAAATAACCATCAGCCCAATACTGATGTCCCACGCTTACTTTTTGAGGGCTCCTGTTGAGCGACGAACGCTACCGCAACATCTGCAAGCTTTGTGTATGGTATTCTAATTCTCGACTATTCGCTTCCACTTTTTGTGTCTCAAATAAATCTTGTCTTGTGAAGAACCTCTGCTTTTATTGTTGAGGTAAGTTTTAATTAGTATTTCTTAAAGCTTGCTGTTAGTTGCTGGTGTGAGAATCCCGATTTGCGGCCACTTCGTTTTCTTTTTCACTCTGTACGTTTTCGTAGAAAGTTTTCCCCGCGTAATTCTCGCACCCCCTCAACTTTTCATCGGTTTTCCGGCAAAAAAAGTGCGAGGAATATGCGAGTAAATACGGTAAATGTGTGCATTCGCCCTAAAGCGGCGCTGCACCACACACGTTGCTTTTGTCAGCAATACTGGGGGGCACTTTATGTAGTCGCCCCGTTGCTTTCCTTCTTTGCCAGTGGTTATTATAAAAAGCACCGCCTCAATCGCGCAGACGTCAGAATAATTGATCAGCCAATTCCGTGCTTTGGCGGCAGCGCAAGTGTACAAGATGTAGACCATCACATAATACGTAATATCCACTCACGATGTGTGCTGTCAACATTACTTTCAGTTCCAAAACCACCTTGTGGCGCAGCAATGGCACGAATTAGACGAAAAAGACCCTTTTGGAGCAGTATGGTGCAGTAATTTCCAGTTGGCGCAATCGGTGCAGGCTTCCCACCACTGAAGAGTTTGAAAGTTGTGAGTTGTCTCTGCTGATGGCAAGTGCCGTTTTTTTTAATCAAGTTTCATTCACGTCATAGTTACAATACAACAGTTAAATGTTTCAAATATTGCCCCCAATGCATCCCCTGGCTTTATGGCCCATTGGCTTCACTAGATTGATTTATATGTAGGGTTTAACGTCCCAAAACCACCATAAAATTATGAGAGACACCTTAGTGGAGGGCTCCGAAAATTTCGAACACCTGGGGTTCTTTAACGTGCACCCAAATCTGAGCACACGAGCCTACAACATTTCTGACTCCATCGGAAATGAAGCCGCCGCAGCCGGGATTCGAACCCGCGACCTGCGGGTCAGCAGCAGAGTACCTCAGCCACTAGAACACAGCGGCAGGGCTGGGCTTCACTAGACAGTGTGTAATAAAGAAACAAGCCTTCAATCAATCTCCCTTCTTTTGGTGTTATAAAACGTGATATAAGTCGCAAAAAAAAGTTTGAAATGTACACCAAATGTTTACAATGTTATTCTTCAAGAAATTTGCGCAGATGTAAAAATCTTTTAAAGGACTTAAACTGAATTGAAATATGAGCATGTTTACTATTACCTTATCTTATCAGCTCATTTCTGGTGGCTAAGACATCAGAAACCAACAAAAAAGCAGAGAGGCCAGTTGAGATGCGATTATGTTTTCTAGAAGACTTCAAAATGTTCCCTAATCGATGTTTTAACTTTACTGTTCCCTGTAATTCGAAAGACAACTTATGGAGCTCTCTTAGGGCTGTAATATGTAATCGATTGCACTCTTAAGGAGCCAAAAAATAAGCACTGGCAAAGTCAATGACAGCAAGCAATACAATAGGCTGAATTCCATTGTATCATGCAGTGGTGCAACGACTGGCTTGTGTGTCCTAATATCAAGAAAAAACCTTGCTACTTCAAGATACTGAGCACTTGAGCATGGTCTTGCAGCCCAGTAAAGGATATCTTTTACAGAACATGTTACCATGAAAAACAATTCCAATGACATACCCGGTTCAAGGTCCAAAATCATGTCCAACGCTTGTCTGTAGTGAGGAACCTGCTCACTGAGGCCAGTCAAATTGAACTTGTCCTGAATGTAATCTTCATCAACCTGTAAGCGACAACCATAGGCACACCCAGATAAAACTAAATTTGACATTTCTTATATGCTTGTCAAAGATATTGCTAGCCAGTAGAACAGCAAGTCAGGATAAAAACTAAATATAATCGGACCACCAAGATGTTTAACGATATTAATAGGGGAGACAATAAAGAGAAATTGCTTTTTATAGCAGAATTGAACAGAATGTTAGCAGTCAAATGACGTACTACGACTGTAAGTTAGTGTAAAAGGTTACGAAAAAAAACTGCATGCAGTAACACTCCACCCTGATCCCAAATTAGCATATGAATGCTAGCTGCCACTAAGTGCATCCTGATTATTGTTTTAATATGTTTGATTAGCACCCACGACCACTATATATATTACAAGTTTACAGCTATGAGGAAAGACAACAGTGCAAGAACATGCATAGGCATGATCACAACCAAAAGCTCTCAAATTTATATTGATAGGCGTAGGCACCCCTTGTGGCCCCTACCACGGCGCATAGCATGGTAAAAATGAGAGTGGAGCTCCAGTACAGCCACACACAGTACCAGCAAGAGCTCTACAAAAAGTTAACAGCATCCCATACAAATTTGCAGCACAAGTTTGCCTTCTGGACATGTGCTTGGCCACAGAAAGTTATGACAAGGTGTGCCAGGCTGCTCATAACCCTTTCAGTCACGGTGTCCACATTTGAAGACGCGAACTTTAAAAAGACGTCACATGCCCCGTCCTTCTTCAAATGGCTTGACACTCGGTCTGCACATTCCTGCGGGCACCCTCAGCGGACAATTATCGATCACTTAATTTCACTACACTGCATACTGCTGCAGAGGATCACCTTGCAAAAGACACTGCCATGTTCGACCATCGTTCGACGTGCCGTGGTCCAAGACCAATGTGAAAAGAATTTTTCTTCCTCGTGCTGAGCGAATACAACCGAAAAGCAAACTGTGCATGCATTTCAGGCCTAACAGTTGATTTTTTCGAATGCAAGTACTGAATATGGCTGGCAGCAGCATAACTATATAATAGTTGCACACTCTTTAACATTAATTACTGAAACTTACACAAAACAACACATTCATTCTTTTTTCTGTAGTTGTTGAATATAATACTGGGTGCCTTGGAATTATGCCTTCCAAATTTTCACGCATTTTTGACAGTGCTTCAACTTCGTGATTAAAGGGGATAAAGCAGTTACTAGGTGTGGTTTTTATTTTAACCATTTCCCTGAATAATACCTCCCAATTATGTTTTGTCCATAAGGAGTTGTAGCCACAGAGGTGATTTAGTACTAACCAAGGCTTCTTTCTATAGAAAGCAATGCACTCCAAACTCCCCACGCTATTAATTTTGTTCTTCGTTGACATTTTTCTATGTAGGCTGACTTACCAATGCATAATATCTGTTCCCTGGACAAAAGTTGCCGTGACATAGTTGCCAGAAAGTACACTTTGGCAATGAATAATTACAGTTCCATCACCAACCTAAGACTTTCTTCCCCTCCCATGCTCCACATGTTCTTGCCTGATGTGAAGCATTACAAATAAACATGATCAGCCTGATTTAAGGCTTATAAGTGCCCTTCATAAGTGCTGAATTCTGTTATCTTCTCTTGTCCCGCTAAAAAATGCTGTTAATTTGCCCAGATGCACTCGGCCATGTGCAAGTGTAATAGTGTGCAATAAACTGAGGTCGAACTTCGGCCGTCTGATAACGTGTACTTACATAAATAACATTTTTCTTGTGCATACCACCTCACCAAAATGAGGCCGCCACGACAAAAAATTCATGTGTTTGGCAGCAGGCCTTACCACTATGGCAGGCGCGATGAACAAGAATTTCACATACTAACTTACAGACTAAACAATGTATTTCTAGACAAGCCTGCCTTGAATTGCAAAGCTACTGTGGCAACTGACTTACGCAACGCTAAACAGAAGCTTGAACTGAATGTACCGGCCAGTTATGATTAATGCGGTGCGAATTCATCAGTCCGAAGGGAACTACCGACGGATCAGAAAATCGAAGGACCACAATAAATAGAGGCAGAACCAGTGACTGAACAGGCGACAAGAGTGTTGGTCAACTCCACAACAGTTACGTGCGGCCTACCAACAGCGATTACCAGATTGCCGGTCACAAGCTTACCTCGCAAAAGAACTCGTTCCCTCGTAGTCCACAGAACCAGGATATCCACGATACTTCCTCAGAAGAACTCATTGTCTCCGACAGCTTACCTGGAACGAGTAGCAAGGATACAAGTTATACCCGTGCCACACGGGCATAGAAAATGACACTGGGTGGCGAAGGCCTTCAGTTCCCGAATGACATTTGTTTCGCCGGCGCTGCTACACGTCCAAAGCGAATGACATTTGACTTGATGATGTCGATCGCAGCACCTTCCAAGTGAGCATTGGGGGAATAGCAATAAAAAAATAAAGAAGCTTTTACAAGCTTCATACACATCATATAATTATTAAAAATAGAAATAAGCATATTACGCTGCCCTAAGTTGTAGTTTCTCGCTTTGTTTTACGACGTTGCAGCCGACCGTAGCAACCTAAGCCAACACTAGCCAGATCCACAGCGTAATTAGAAAATGGCGTCTGTCGCATCGCACCTGTCGCATCTCTCAGATGTTCGCAGAGTTCATTTTTGCACGGCAGCACTTGTGTATTTCCGTGCAAAGCATCGCGCTCAAGAGCGAATAATTCTGGAGCAAAGACGAGTTAGTATGCGCCAGCTTTAGTACATTGAACTTGAATTAATTTTAAACCATTTCAACCTGATCTTCGTATAACGGTCAAAGCACTTTTTTAAAAGTTTAGTGCAAATAAAAGACGGGAAGTTTTATTTTTAGCTGAATATGATTTGTTTTATTTACTTTAAGGTAAATCGCACTTCGCGAGCTGTGTCGTAGAGAGTAGGCATTTCTCAGTCAACTGAGTTCTCGCGAAGGCATTTGGTGGCGAATGGCATTCGGACGAATGCCATTTCGTTCGCCCGTGTGGCACCGCGTGAATGGCAATAAATCTGAAGGCATTCGGGGGTAAATGCCATTTTCTCTGCCCATGTATCGTAACATAAACGCGCAATCATTTGTCGCACCAATGACATCAACCACGTGCGACCACCATGCGCTAATAAAAATAATTAGTAACTTCGAGTAGTAATGAACACTTAATTCTAGACTTTTTTTTTTACCGAGATGGTGCGCTCGCGTCTCGGTACACGGCACCCTTAAAAGCACTCGTACGGTTTGTCACTTAGTATCAACGCTAAAATGACCCGTTCGATTTCACAATAGCTTTAAGTCAGCTTACCGACTTCTCAAGAAATCAGGCGACGAGAGAAAAGCTTAGCAGAAATACTTTGCCAATCGAGGAACAAATCGGAACAGCCAGCGAGCACCGCCGCGGTCACCAGGCTGACAAGAAACACACTAGCGTCGACACCGTGGTTTCGTAAAAATGACGCAAGTGATATGTTGTGAATACGAAAAATCAATGTTCTTCGAAAGCTGTTTTATCTGTTATTTTAATAAAGCAATGGCATTTTTAATAGTATACGTTTGTATAAATATTTTTGTCAAAAACTTTCAAAACTTCCACTCAGTTAGGGCAATGGTAGTGTTACAGACACGGACAGACTTCAGTTTACTACACGGAGGAACTGGTTTACTAGAAGTACACTCTAGTAGTGTATAGATGTATTGTAGTTAGGGTTATCAAATTTGTAGTGAAGCATGGAGGAATAAAAACTAATGAGAGGCCTTGACGTGAAATTCGTAAAGCCGCCGCATGAATAGGTGGATAGATTGATATGGGTGTACCCTTTGCGGCTAACGCTACCTAGCCGTAATACTTAGTGAACCAAAAACTAGATGTATCTTTTTTTTTTTCTTTAGGTAGTGAAGTTGAGGACTGGTACTAAGCAGTAAAGGGTTTATTTTCACTCGTGCCTTGATTTTAGCCCCCAATCCTTCTTCTAGTTAATTCTACCAGCTTAAAGTCTATTTTGCCCTCCCTGTCCCTAAACACTAGTGCTTTGAAAATCTCTGTGCCATCATCCTGAGCTATACCCATACAACACTCGATGTCCTTAGGTCGTCCTCATATGGTACAATCGTCCTTGCACAGTTCTCATTGACCTTAGTACTTACTGAAGACGACACAAGCTGGTTTGCCCCGGAAACGTCTTTTCGAGTGCTTTCTGAGGACAACAATTGGTCCGGAAAAGGTCCTGTTAAGTAGTTTTTGGGGATGACAAAAGCGTTGCACTGAGCACTTGGATATAATTCCTGAAGACCTTTACGCACCAAGTAGATGCATTTCATACGTGAAAACTTTCTCCACAAGTTTGTTTCTTACAGCCATAAAGTTATTGTATAATTTCGCCTCGTTTTTTTTTTTTTTTTGCAGAAAATTTTTAAGTAATGCGTTGCGCTTAATGAGACACACATAGTCAATTGGCTTAGATATTGAACACGGTATTGCGAAATGTCCATTCGGAACAGTGTGTTCTTAAATGTCACAGCTTTAAATTAGTCATCATACGCCGCTGTATCGCGTAATAACAAACTAGCAGCTGGCAACCATTGACTATGCGGCAGCAGCGGCACCATGTCCTTTGTTGTTTGTGCGCATGGTTAAAAGTAAGATATGTGTGAGAGTGTAAGTCGTAGGTGATGACCAACGTTACTAGAATAGGTGGGTGATGACGGTAGGTAAATTGCCGTGTTGATGGGTGCACTGGGCTGCTCAACGTTCAGACTGATCATGGATGCATTGTCACCAGCCGACCGCGGCGAGGAGTGGTTCGATGAGGGTGGCGATTTGGGCTTGTTGGTATGGTTCGAAGCAGCCTGGAACAACAGACAATCGCGAACAATTGGGCTTCGAAGCAGCCTGGCCCCAATGTGAAAGGATCGACTTCTGCATCTGACACATGGCCCGACCTCGGGCAAGTCAAGTCAACGCCCGTGCTGAGTGCACTGATAGGCTGTCAGAGCGGAGCCTCTAATACTACTGAGTGCATTGAGCGCGATACACGTGGTGATAAGGACACTGTGTCAAACTTTCAAGGAAGATTACAAACGTAGTTGATTGAGCTGTGTTGACTGCCTTGATACTGCTTTTCTTTTTTCAGACTATACGCGTACTCGAATGCCTGACAAAGCTGTCAGTTGTGATTAATTACTGTTAAATAAATAAATTTCAGTCAACAAGCTTTGTTTGTTTTACTCTAATAGTCCAGCACTGTCACCTCTCTGTTTATCAATACAGTATATATACTCGAGACCTCGCAGGTGTTTTTCTTTTGATGTATGGAAATATGAAAAGAAGTAAATCATAAGTAGTATCACTGCCCACAGTACCGAACCGGCCACGCTACCGTTGTTCTGAAAAGATACTGAAAAGGTCCTGAATTGTTGTTTTGAGGGTGTGCTGAGGTTGTTATGTGTATGGACAAGGGGACGAGATAAGTGCCTTTCTAGTACCATAAGAGGACATTCTGAGGGCGTCATATTGTCCTCACGGAGGCATACTGAGGACGTCCTGAGGTTGTGTTTGTGTTGTCTGAGTAGGGTGAAGCCCTTTACAGAACATTATCAAGTGTTTGGCAGTTTTTCCCTCCTATCCACACGCACTCCATACCGTGTCTACCCCTTCGTATTTGGCCCGATATGTCTTGGTTCGCAATACTCCCATCCTGGCCTCAAACAGTAGAGAACTACCCCGAGTATTATCATAGATAATTTCCTTGGCAATTTCTTGCTTAAAAGTTCGATATATCTCTAGTGCGGACTTCTTAATCATGCCAATTCTCCACATATTGGTCTCAGCTTCCTTCACCTTCTTCTTAACCGATATATTCTTTTTGGTTTGGCCCCCTGCTCTTTTCCAAGTATTTACCAGTCAATTTTCTGGTTCGCTTCCTCCATTTTGTATCGACATTCTTCATGTACAAGTAGCTAAATACCTTCCTAGCCCCAACGCTCCTCCCCCATTTCTTTCAATTGCTTCTCAAATTTTATCTTCCTGCTAGCTTCCCTGCCCTTGAATGATGTCCATCCCATATCACGTTATGCTCCCTGATTTGGTGTATTCCTGTGAGCTCCTAAAGCAAGCCTACCTATTCCTCGTTGCTTAATTTCTAATCTTGCTTGAACCTCTGATCTCAGGCACAAGTACCGCATTGCCGAAAGTCAGACCAGGAACTATGACACCTTACCAAATTCATCTTACCCCGTCATACCTATAAGTATGATATTGCAATTTCACACTGCCCTATTTTTCATCACCGCTGCATTCCTGGTTTCTTTAGTGGTTACGTATATTTCGTGTTCCCTTAGATACTCGGTCCCATTGCTTATCCATACGCCCAGATATTTGTATTTATTCGTTATCTCTAGCGTGACCTCCTGTATCGTAAGCTCGATCACTACCTTCATTATCATTAAAAATCATGACTGCTGATTTTTCCTTACTGAACCTCAAATCTAACTTATCTCCCTCATTACGGCAGAGATGTTCATAAATGTCTGCAAATCTTCCTTGTTGTCGGCCATAACCACTATATTATCTGCGTACATCAACGCTGGTAATGCCTGTTCAATGAGTTTTCCTTGTTTGACGAAAGAGAGGTTAAAGCCAAGTCCACTCCCCTCTAATTTGGCCTCTAATCTTTGTAGGTACTACATCATGAATAACAAGGGTGACAGAGGACACCTCTACCTAATTATAAGCCCCCGTTTTATCTCTGTGTACTCAAATACCTGTTTTTCCCATTTTATAGCTACCTTGTTACTTTTATAGATATTGTTAGATTAGTGACTCAATCCTCCGCACCTAGTGTGTCCAGTATTCCCCACAAGACCTCTTGAACCACGCTATCCTACGCTTCCTTGATATCCAAAAATGCTAGCCACAAGGGCCTGTGTTCCTTTTCTCGCAAACACCCACACTACATCCTAGCGGAGAAGAAAATCAACACTTCGCGATTTCCGGCGAGCAGCAGCCGCAGTGGCCTTGCAAGCGGCGCCGGCGGAGTGGTAGATGTTCTCTGCCAGCAGCAAGTCAATTAACGAGTGCTGTTTCTTTTGCTCATTTTAGGAAAGCTGTGCGGTGCCCAGGTGCAAATCGCGTGCACCGCCGGATGTACCTGGTGGCACTGTTCACGTATGTTCGCCTCACTGTTGATCAATAATGCATGGTATTTGCATGCGGAGCTCTCAGCTGTATGCTCCGTTGGTTCTTACTCATTGTGTAAACTGAGAACACATGCGAAATTTCATTTTTAGTGTCGTAGGCATCATGTCGCGTTTTTAGAAGTTGTATCGTTCATACGGAAGGACAATAATCTTTTCTTGTTATCGGACTGAATGTGTATGTATTGTACAGTGTGTGCTCGCTGCGTGTTAGATGTGTGCGCACTGAAATTGCACACTTTACGTGCACGATCGCGTATACAATACTCTGGTGCCTTCTTATCAACGTGAAGTACGTCAAGTACTAGGCTGGCGTTTCATGGAATAGCTACGAAGCAAGCTGTCAAAATCGTGCATTGCCACACTGACATTATATACGAGCAAAGAGATGCTAATTGGCTCGTAGATCGGAAAATCTGGCTAAGAAAAAAAAAGGCCTTACGGTGAACAGAATGAGTAAGTCACTGCATGTTGAGTTCGAATATGATGATGCAGAGGCATGATTTTGATTACGACATGTACCAGTGCTTTCTGTGCTGTTGCACAAAAACACTCCACGAAGTATTTCAGCACGCCGCGCTCGGACCTGCCACGGAAAAACAGTCTGGGAAAGGTGTGCTTGCAACATTTTACTGCATGCAAGCCATACAATACGAGTTAAGTTTACGCCGGGACTATCGAGTCCACACAGAAGCAAACCAGCGCTGCTGTTTTGTTTGCCCCATACCGGTTTGTTTGCCCCATAAATTTGACGTCACTTCCGCCACACACCTCGCAATGCATTGGTTAGCATTGGGATACGATAGGGCCCAGTGATGCCAACTTTAGGGATTTATCTCTAGATTTAGAGATTTTCCACCTCATTTAAGGATCTGGCATCTTTTTTTGTTTAATCTAGGGATTTTTATAAGGCTGTGGTAATGTGACATTTCGCGGCCTGATGAAAGGCATTACTAAGTGGCCACTCTCTTTCAACTAGAAAGGTTGTAAAAAATGATAATTTGGGCCATTTCATGTTTTTATATAGGATAGTTTTAGAGTTCTAATGAATCGAGTGAAGGGGATAGCAGTTTTGTAATGCGAGAATGTTATAGTCTGAATATTGCAGAAAATTAAGGTATGTAGTCGTAAGAGTTAAACACGTGCATATTATGAGCTCCCAGGGTGATCGCTGCTTTGTGAAACGAAGATAAACTTTATCTTGTAGAGCGCATAAACACGTGTCAAGA